CAAACTTCTGTGAAGCTGCGAATCTGTTTGAGTGAACCGCTTCGTTCCCAGGGATTTACAGGTCTTCACAATGTGGCCTGCACAAGCTTAGCTGAGCACCATCTGGTGCCTCTACGGAGCTCATCTGCGCCAAAAGCTAGCTGGCTCGTGCGTTGGTTGGCGAGTAGAAGTAGGTTGGTCGGTTTCTAAGAGTTGATTGAGTACTCCAGGACCAACAGCGATCTCAAATATGGTGCCCCTTTAGGACCAGGACGGCAGAGGGTAAATGAAGGTTACTGTGTGGTGTCAATCTGGGCGAGAGTGGGGGGGGGGAGGGCTGAGCTGAGCTCAAGAGCCGAAAATACTACGACTCACTCGTTTTTATGTCGATGACGAAAACTTGCAATCTAGTGGTAAGTACTGCCACAAAACGTCCACATGGAGAAACAGCAAGTTGGGCGACTCCTCCACACCCACCTGAAGTCACAGAAATTGTCCATAACATTATTAACCATAAAAATATTAGGTTGGCGGGAAAGTTCTGTCACATTTTTTCAAATTAGCTTTCTTTTTAGAGAGGCGTACAAGATCAAAATTATACAGCAATGTTACTGCGGGGTTCTTGCCAGTTTTTGAGCACCTCATGGATGCCATCGCTTCACAATGCAGGCGGCGCGACGCAAAGTTGGACATCATCTCAATTTTGACTTGGGCTCGAGTCGTGGAGGTTTTCTCGGCCATATAACGGTAAGTACGGGAGGCAACTAGCAGTTAGAAAGAGCAATGTCTGGGCTACACCAGTGCAAGGGGAGAGCCATCCAGCTCTATTGCATGAGGTTCGGCTCGAACTTTTTTGGACGGAGTGGGCTGCACCATCACGTTGAAGACGGACTGTGCGGACGAATTTTTCCCTCTGATCGACGATTCGCTTCAGATCTCGTAGCTGCTTTGCGTACGGATTGACGAGGAAGCAGCTTCTTCATCCAGCAGTTTCACGACACCGCAGTTCTCTCAAGCTGAGTTCACAT